CACAAACCCATAGACTCACACAGAGACCCATAGACTCATCACACAGAGATACATAAACTCATCACACAGAGACCAACAGACTCATTACATAGATACCCACAGAATCATCACACAGAGACCTATAGACTCTTTACACAGAGACCCATAGACTCATCATACAGAGACCCATAAACTCATCTCACAGGGACCCAAAGACTCATCACACAGAGACCCATAGACTCATCACACAGAGACCCAAAGACTCATCACACAAAGACCCATAGACTCATACAGAGACCCATAAACTCATCTCACAGGGACCCAAAGACTCATCACACAGAGACCCATAGATTCACCACAGCGAGACATAGACTTGTCACACAGAGACCCACAGATGCATCACACAGAGACCCATATAATCATTTCACAGAGTCACATAGCCTCATCACACAGATACCCATAGATTAATCATACAGAGACCCATAAACTCGTCCCACAGAGACCCATATATTCCTCACACCGAGACCCATAGACTCATACAGAGACCCATAAACTCATCACACAGAGACCCATAAACTCATCTCACAGGGACCCAAAGACTCATTACATAGATACCCACAGAATCATCACACAGAGACCTATAGACTCTTTACACAGAGACCCATAGACTCATCACACAGAGACCCATAGACTCATCACACAGAAATCCATAGACTAACACACAAACCCATAGACTCACACAGAGACACATAGGCTCATCGCACAGAGATCCATAAACTCATCACACAGAGACCTATAGACTATTTACACAGAGATCCATAGACTCACACAGAGACCAACAGACTCATCACACAGATACCCATCGACTCATCACACAGAGACCCACAGACTCATCATACAGCGACTAATAGTCTCATCGCACAGAGACCCACAGACTCATTACATAGATACCCACAGAATCATCACACAGGGACCTATAGACTCTTTACACAGAGACCCATAGACTCATCACACAGAGACCCATAGACTCATCACACAGAGACCCATAGACTCATCACACAGAGACCCATAGACTCATCTCACAGAGACCCATAAACTCATCTCACAGGGACCCAAAGACTCGTCCTACCAGGCAAGGCCCCAATGAGCTGTGTAACTCATTTTTCAGAAGTAACTTGGCCATCACAAGGGATAACAGCTCAACAAAGTGGCTTATCATCATTCTCATCATGTAGACATTTATAGCGGCAGGCAACTACTCTAATGCAGCGGTTATTAAACCCTTATTGTACCCATTTGGTTCTCAATCGTAAAAAAAGAAAAAAATGTGTAATGTTAATAGGTACCTAGGGTTTGATTAGACAAAAGTAGTTGTAACTTACGTGCCCGAGTTTAATTTTTTTTCTATGATTTACCTTCAATAATAAATCTGGCCGTGTCTCTCTGCCCGCAGAAAGGGCGATGCGCCCCAGGTTAAGAAGAAGCCGCTGAAATTTTGATTTAAAGCTTTCGTGACTGCAGTAATTCATATTCTTAGTTCTTTCGGTAAAGTCACGTTGAAGGGAAACAACAAAATAATAAAATATATATAAAACAATAAAAATTATCACGACGTTTCGACCATAACACAAACGACTTTACCGAAAGAACTAAGAATAAGAAGCCACTACTTCTCAATAAATAGGTCCCTGCAGGGTGGGCTGGTAGGAACATTGGAATTTTGCGCAATTGTATTTTTACACCCCAACAGCACGAGATTTCACTTCGTTAAAGTATTGAAAGGGGACGGACGGACGGACACATTAATCTATTGCAGGCTGGTACACTCAGTTTACAACTTCATTCCTACCAGTACAATAATAATATAATGTCACTGTGGGACAATTTACAACGCGGCTACTCGCCAATTAACGTCGCATATTTTGGTCGCGTAGCTCCGAACGCATTCGCGCGGAAATTCAGAATTCCGGTTTCCAAGTTGTCTTCGGGGATGGCGACTTTGTTGCCGTATTAACGCCCTCTTCGACCACGGCCGCCTCGCAAAATGACAAACAGCGCCAAAAAACACGGATCCCTAGTAGAGCTTTAACGGGCTGTTTGGGCAAGTGCTGTTGGTCGAGCAGCACCTATGAAGGCCGGCACGGCACACGAGATGGGGTGGGTGGCCAACGGCACGCGCGGCCGCACCAGGTACTCATTTGAGGCTGAGTTGACCTAGGGGAGGTCCAGGATGGGTTTAAATAATCGTCGGCGGTGTTGGCCGTGAGCGGGAACTGAACCGACTTCGCCAGGTGTTCGTAGCGCAGCTACGCTACCACTCCCATCACACGCACAGACACACGCGGCAAACATGTGTAAGTGGCGTCTTCTACATTTCTAATGTCTACGGAGGGAAGGGGGGGAAAGAAAAAAAACAACAGGGTCCGATTTCACGACCGATGGGGGATTCCTAAGGGGTCTGACGTCGTGACGTCGTACAAGCAAAATGGCGACCGCCGGTAAAGCACGGCCAGGAGGCCCAACGCTGAGTCGAGCGCGGTGCTTCAACCTCAAACGGGAGACCCTCGGGCCCGGCGCTACGGGCACGGCGCTACAGGCCCGGCGCTACGGGCCCGGCGCTACGGGCCCGGCGCTACGGGCACGGCGCTACGGGCCCGGCGCTACGGGCCCGGCGCTATGGGCCCGGCGCTACGGGCCCGGCGCTACGGGCCCGGCGCTACGGGCACAGCGCTACGGGCCCGGCGCTACGGGCACGGCGCTACGGGCCCGGCGCTACGGGCCCGGCGCTACGGGCCCGGCGCTACGGGCACGGCGTGCGTGATGGCACCGACAGATGGGGAATTGAAAAAGCCCCCCTCTATATCCTTAGCTCTTTCGGTAAAGTCACCACGTTGAAGGGAAACAATAAAAGAATAACATATATCTCCTTTGGTTCTTTCGGTAAAGTCACCACCACGTAGAATGAGAATAAAATAATAAATTGATCAAATAAAATAACACGATAATATTCTCACGACGTTTCGGCCACAACATAAGTGGCCTTCATCAGGTGAAGGGACGAGACAGAACGAATTCTTCTGCCGTAGCTGATCACTGTTACAACGCTGTGGGTGATCACGATATAATTTTCTCCGATACCAAGTTTATTTGCAAACCCACGGGTTTTTTATCAGAGATTTGTTCACGAGGCAATTCAGATTTACAAACACAGACACAATTTCAACCGAGAAAATGGTTTTAAATTAAGCAACCATTGGAAAGATGTTCTAAATGGAACCAAACAATAAACTAATTTTAAATGGTACAGTATATTTTTTCAAGTAGTGGTACCCCAAACTTTCGCAGCTGCTTAAATTCCCTTTTCACACCATCAATAGGTAAACTCCCCCTCCCCCCTCGCCGGTCTGCACATGTTCAACCCCTCTACACCGTTCATCATGCTAAGTCCGCCAATTGAATGCTAATTTTTACGCTAATTCCTTTGTTAAGGCACCTTAATTCCTCTCACACAGCTTAAAGGTCGCGGTCTGAGCTTGACTGTGTTTCACTCCAGCACTGTCCTCGAGAGAGTCTGGTCCCTTCACCTGATGAATGCCACTTGTATTGTGGCCGAAACGTCGTGAATTTTTAATTTTTATTTTTGTTGTTTTATATTTTTACGTGACTTTACCGAATAGAACCAAAGAGTATGACCATCCTCTTGGTTGAAATTGTCTGTGTCTGTATATATGGATGGCTTCATGAACGAATCTTTGTTGATAGCCAGTGGGCTTGCAAAGTACCTTCGTCTTAGAGAAATCAATTTCGTGTGAGCCAGCCGCATTAAAATTATAATAAGCTACGGCAGAAGTATTGGTCCTACCGTGTTTCAAATCTGCCTTATGCTCACGAACACGGTCCGAGACATGTCGCTTAGTTTTCCCCAATGTAACTGCTGCCGCAGATACAGCTTAGTTTGTAGACGCCGGGGTATTGCATATCAGGGATCACATCCTTCACAGATGGGATCAGATCACGAATTTTATGTACTGTGTTAAATCGGACCTGGGTCTTGTGTTTGTTCATGATTTTTGGAAATATTTTTGTTAACTTCTGCTATGTATGGCAAGGTGATGGTTTTGATTGGATCCTCAGATGGCTCCTTCCTCGTGGTTGGGGTGATGGCTTTGCGGATTGTGTGGTCAGAATATCCATTCGCCTTGAGAGCTTGGTGTACGTGTTTGAATTTACTGGTCAGGTGTTCATGGTCGGACATACATTGAGCTCTATGGTGTAACGTTTTGATTAGGGAATTCTTCTGGGATGGATGGTGGGAGTCAGGTTTTAGGTAGGTGTCAGTATGGATTACTTTCCTGGTCTCTTTTGGATTAGGACATCCAAAAAAGGTAGCATGCCATCCTCTTCTACCTCCATGGTGAATTTGATTGCTGGGTGTATGGAATTGATATGGTTGAGGAATTGGCCACGTGGCCAGATGACAAACGTGTCATCCACGTACCTCTTCCACAAGGACTAGCGTAGCGTGGATGCCTGGATGGCTTCCATCTCAAATTTTTCCGTGAAAATATTGCCAACAACCGGAGATAAGGGAGAACTCATTGGAGTGCCTTCAGTTTGTTTGTAGAATGTTCCACCCCAGGTGAAGTATGTATTGGTGAGGCAGTGTCTCACCAGGGCTGGTACATCAGCATTCAATCATTGTTGGACCAAATCTTCAATGATTGCAATCGTATCGGGCACAGGAACTTTGGTGAACAAAGAATCTACGTGGACACTAACGAGCAAATCGCCTGGGGACAGTGAGATGGCCTTAATTGACAATACCAGGTGAGCTAAGTACAGAAGAGGTGGTCTTACCAGTGAATGGCTGCAAGGTCTCAGACATATATCAGGCCAGTTTGTAGGTGGGTGAGCCGATGGTGGGACGAAAGGGTGTACACCATCGTCACCACGCAGAGCCCAGAGGCACATAGGGTGTTGCTGGAGGACGCCTAACCATTGATTTCGATTCTCTTTTGCAGGAAGCAACTTGCGGAGACATGGGGAAGATTCCGCATCTGTTCCTCCTGTGTGAGTGACATCACCCCATCAGCTACGGCTACGCCGCTACAGCTACACCCAGATGCCTGGTGTCACATATCCAGCTACAGCTACTCCGCTACAGCCACACCCAGATGCCTGGTGTCCCATAGCCAGCTACAGCTACTCAGCTACAGCTACACCCAGATGCCTGGTGTCCCCATAGCCAGCTACAGCTACTCCACTACAGCTACACCCAGATGCCTGGTGTCCCATATCCAGCTACAGCTACTCCACTACAGCTAAACCCAGATGCCTGGTGTCACATAGTCAGCTACAGCTACTCAGCTACAGCTAAACCCAGATGCCTGGTGTCACATATCCAGCTACAGCTACTCAGCTACAGCTACACCCAGATGCCTGGTGTCACATAGTCAGCTACAGCTACACCCAGATGCCTGGTGTCCCATAGCCAGCTACAGCTACTCCACTACAGCTAAACCCAGATGCCTGGTGTCACATATCCAGCTACAGCTACTCAGCTACAGCTACACCCAGATGCCTGGTGTCACATAGTCAGCTACAGCTACACCCAGATGTCTGGTGTCCCATAGCCAGCTACAGCTACTCCACTACAGCTAAACCCAGATGCCTGGTGTCAGATAGTCAGCTACAGCTACTCTGCTACAGCTACACTCAGATGCCTGGTGTCACATAGCCAGCTACAGCTTCTCCGCTACAGCTACACCCAGATGCCTGGTGCCACATAGCCAGTGACAGCTACTCCACTACAGCTAAACCCAGATGCCTGGTGTCACATAGCTAGCTACAGCTAAACCCAGATGCCTGGTGTCACATAGCCAGCTACAGCTACTCCACTACAGCTACACCCAGATGCCTGGTGTCCCATAGCCAGTTACAGCTACACCCAGATGCCTGGTGTCCCATAGCCAGCTACAGCTTCTCCGCTACAGCTACACCCAGATGCCTGGTGTCACATAGCCAGCGACAGCTACTCCACTACAGCTACACCCAGATGCCTGGTGTCACATAGCCAGCTACAGCTACTCCGCTACAGCTACACCCAGATGCCTGGTGTCACATAGCCAGCTACAGCTACTCCACTACAGCTACACCCAGATGCCTGGTGTCACATAGCCAGCTACAGCTACTCCACTACAGCTACACCCAGATGCCTGGTGTCCCATAGCCAGCTACAGCTACACCCAGATGCCTGGTGTCACATAGCCAGCGACAGCTACTCCACTACAGCTACACCTAGATGCCTGGTGTCACATAGCCAGCTACAGCTACTCCACTACAGCTACACCCAGATGCCTGGTGTCACATAGCCAGCTACAGCTACTCCACTACAGCTACACCCAGATGCCTGGTGTCACATAGCCAGCTACAGCTACTCCACTACAGCTACACCCAGATGCCTGGTGTCCCATATCCAGCTACAGCTACACCCAGATGCCTGGTGTTCCATAGCCAGCTACAGCTACTCCGCTACAGCTACACCCAGATGCCTGGTGTCACATAGCCAGCTACAGCTACTCTGCTACATCTACACCCAGATGCCTGGTGTCCCATAGCCAGCTACAGCTACTCCGCTACATCTACACCCAATGCCTGGTGTCCCATTGTCAGAGGGTCAGAGATGTATATGGAGACACATGGAGATACATAGAGACGCATAGAGACTCGGATATATACATAGCAATTCATAGAGATACATAGCGACGTAGATATATGCATAGTGACTCATAGAGATACGTAGAGAATCATAGATATACAAAGAGACTTATAGAGATACGTAGAGAGACATAGAGACTCATAGAGATCCATAGAGTTGTATATATAAAGAGTTAGAGATCTACATAGAGACATATAGAGTATCATATATATATAGATGCATACTAAAGATACTCATAGAGACACATGGAGATGCAAAGATACACATAGACTCATAGAGATACAAATAGATACGCAAAAATTCAGAGACATACAGAGACTCATAGAGATGTATAGCAACTAATAGAGATACGTAGAGATTGATAGAGACTCATTCATAAATGTACACAGAGATACCCAGACATACAAAGATTCTCATAGAGTATATATTCTTGGTTCTTTCGATAAAGTCATGCAGAAGGGAAACAATAAAATAATAAAAATATAAAATTATTATTTTATTGTTTCCCTTCTACGTGGTGGTGACTTTACCGAAAGAACCAAGAATTTGAATCCCTGCAGTCATGAAAGCTTTAAATCAAAATATACTCGTAGAGGTTCAGAGATATACATAGAGACTCATATAGAGACTAATAGAGAGTCATAGAAATACAGAGATATATGGAGAATCCGAGACTCAGAGAGATACATAGAGTTCATAATAAAGGTTTTTTTGGGTTAGATCGCGTTATTTAAAAATGTGTCGTAACCCTCCACCACCCGACACGGCCAATCAGCAAAAATGTGTCACGTTGACAAAAGACAAATAATTCACTACTTTAGCCCACCGGTGTGTTGAAGAGTGAATCCACAACATTTACAGTTTGAGTACGACGTTTCGCTGGTAATTACATCCAGCATCATCGGGCAATTCGCCAGAATGGTAAAGCCCTCACTTGCTCCCGGTCTTAAATAGATACATGGAGACTCAAACGTATACATAGAGACCCATAGAGACTCAGAGATATACATAGACTCAGAGATATACATAGAAAGTAGTAGATATACATAGAGATGCATAAAGATTCAGAGATGTACATTGAGACGTCCACCATTCTTCTTAGGCACTGCCGCTACTCGCTAACAACACTTGCCCCAACAGTCTGTTAAGGCTACACGGGGGATCTTTGTCGTTGTGTGGCGTGCAGGCCTGGTGGCTGGAAGCTTCATCGTGTTCACCGAAGGTATGGACAGTCGCTGATCTATGATTTTCCCGGGTCTGACCCTGATGAGATGTTTACTACCTCCCCTGGTATGGAGGAGGTCGTGGGTTCAATCTTGATCCCGATGAGATGTTAACTACCTCGCCTGGTAGGGAGGAGGTCGTGGGTTCAATCTTGATCCTGATGAGATGTTAACTACCTCGCATGGTATGGAGGAGGTCGTGGGTTAAATCCTGATCCTGATAAGTTGCTAACTACCTCGCCTGGTGGATAGGAGGTCGTGGGTTCTATCCGGGCCCTGATGAGATGTTAACTACCTCGCCTGGTGGATAGGAGGTCATTCACACCCACAGTGGCCTGGTCTCAACTAGCTGATGAAAGTTGCAAGCGAGAAATGAATCATCGCTTGCCCCTGGGGTTGCAATCGCCCCCCCACCCCCCCCCCCCCCACACTTTCCGTGATTCCGAGAGGAAATGGGTTTGGGGTATGCAGTCCAGACCTCACCAGAGACCCTGGGTATGCAGTACAGACCTCACCAGACTACCTGGGTATGCAGTCCAGACCTCCTCAGAGACCCTGGGTATGCAGTCCAGACCTCACCAGAGACCCTGGGTATGCAGTCCAGACCTCACCAGAGACCCTGGGTATGCAGTCCAGACCTCACCAGAGACCCTGGGTATGCAGTCCAGACCTCACCAGACTACCTGGGTATGCAGTCCAGACCTCCTCAGAGACCCTGGGTATGCAGTCCAGACCTCACCAGAGACCCTGGGTATGCAGTCCAGACCACACCAGAGACCCTGGGTATGCAGTCCAGACCTCACCAGAGACCCTGGGTATGCAGTCCAGACCTCACCAGAGACCCTGGGTATGCAGTCCAGACCTCACCAGAGACCCTGGGTAGGCAGTCCAGACCTCACCAGAGACCCTGGGTAGGCAGTCCAGACCTCACCAGAGACCCTGGGTATGCAGTCCTCACCAGAGACCCTGGGTATGCAGTCCAGACCTCACCAGACTACCTGGGTATGCAGTCCAGACCTCACCAGAGACCCTGGGTATGCAGTCCAGACCTCCCCAGAGACGCTGGGTATGCAGTCCAGACCTCTCCAGAGACCCTGGGTAGGCAGTCCAGACCTCTCCAGAGACCCTGGGTATGCAGTCCAGACCTCACCAGAGACCCTGGGTATGCAGTCCAGACCACACCAGAGACCCTGGGTAGGCAGTCCAGACCTCACCAGAGACCCTGGGTATGCAGTCCACATCTCACCAGAGACCCTGGGTATGCAGTCCAGACCTCCTCAGAGACCCTGGGTATGCAGTCCAGACCACACCAGAGACCCTGGGTATGCAGTCCAGACCTCACCAGAGACCCTGGGTATGCAGTCCAGACCTCACCAGACTACCTGGGTATGCAGTCCAGACCTCACCAGAGACCCTGGGTATGCAGTCCAGACCTCACCAGAGACCCTGGGTATGCAGTCCAGACCACACCAGAGACCCTGGGTATGCAGTCCAGACCTCACCAGACTACCTGGGTATGCAGTCCAGACCTCACCAGAGACCCTGGGTATGCAGTCCAGACCACACCAGAGACCCTGGGTATGCAGTCCAGACCTCCCCAGAGACCCTGGGTATGCAGTCCAGACCTCACCAGACTACCTTGGTATGCAGTCCAGACCTCACCAGAGACGCTGGGTATGCAGTCCAGACCACACCAGACTACCTGGGTATGCAGTCCAGACCACACCAGACTACCTGGGTATGCAGTCCAGACCTCACCAGACTACCTCGGTATGCAGTCCAGACCTCACCAGAGACGCTGGGTATGCAGTCCAGACCACACCAGATACCATGGGTATGCAGTCCAGACCTCACCAGAGACCCTGGGTATGCAGTCCAGACCTCACCAGAGACCCTGGGTATGTAGTCCAGACCTCACCAGAGACCCTGGGTATGCAGTCCAGACCTCTCCAGAGACCCTGGGTAGGCAGTCCAGACCACACCAGAGACCCTGGGTATGCAGTCCAGACCTCCCCAGAGACCCTGGGTATGCAGTCCAGACCTCACCAGACTACCTGGGTATGCAGTCCAGACCTCACCAGAGACGCTGGGTATGCAGTCCAGACCACACCAGAGACCCTGGGTATGCAGTCCAGACCTCACCAGAGTCCCTGGGTATGCAGTCCAGACCTCACCAGACTACCTGAGTATGCAGTCCAGACCTCACCAGAGACCCTGGGTATGCAGTCCAGACCTCACCAGACTACCTGGGTATGCAGTCCAGACCTCACCAGACTACCTGGGTATGCAGTCCAGACTTCACCAGACTACCTGGGTATGCAGTCCAGACCTCACCAGAGTCCCTGGGTATGCAGTCCAGACCTCACCAGACTACCTGGGTAGGCAGTCCAGACCACACCAGAGACCCTGGGTATGCAGTCCAGACCTCACCAGACTACCTGGGTATGCAGTCCAGATCTCACCAGATACCCTGGATATCCAATCCAGACCTCACCAGACTACCTGGGTATGCAGTCCAGACCTCCCCAGAGACGCTGGCTTATGGAGGAGTTGTTCCAGCTGGTTGAGAGAAAGCTGAAGGCCGACTCCCCTCGTCCACAACATCCCACGTTAGAGAATGAGGTTTACCGCAGCTTTCGCTCGGAGGTTTGGAGAACCATGCGGCGATGACGATGACGATGGCGGTAACCATGGCGATGACTGTGACGATGACGATGACTGTGACGATGACTGCAACAATGACGATGGCGGTAACCATGACGATGACTGTGACAATGACTGTAAGCATGACGATGGCGGTAACCATGACGATGACTGTGACGATGACGATGACTGTGACGATGTGGGTAACCATGACGATGACTGTGACGATGACGATGACTGTAACAATGACGATGGCGGTAACCATGACGATGACAGTAACAATGACGATGACTGTGACGATGACGATGACTGTGACGATGACGATGGCGGTAACCATGACGACGATCACAGTGATGGTTGCAGTGACGATGACTGTAACCATGACGATGACTGTAACCATGACGATGACTGTGACCATGAGGCTGACTGTAACCATGACGATGACTGTGACCATGATGATGACTGACCATGACGATGACTGTAACCATGACGATGACTGTGACCATGACGATGACTGTGACCACGACGATGACTGTAACCATGACGATGACTGTAACAATGACAATGACTGTGACCACGACGATGACTGTAACCATGACGACGACTGTAACCATGACGATGACTGTAACCATGACGATGACTGTGACCACGACGACGACTGTAACCATGACGACGACTGTAACCATGACGACGACTGTAACCATGACGATGACTGTGACCATGACGATGACTGTAACCATGACCACGACTGTAACCATGACGATGACTGTAACCATGACGATGACTGTGACGATGACGATGACAGTAACGATGACGATGACTGTAACCATGACGATGACTGTAACCACGACGACGACTGTAACCATGACGATGACTGTAACCATGACGACGACTGTAACCATAACGATGACTGTAACCATGACGATGACTGTAACCATGACGATGACTGTAACCATGACGATGACTGTAACCATGACGACGACTGTAACCATGACAATGACTGTAACCATGACGATGACTGTAACCATGACGATGACTGTAACCATGACAATGACTGTAACCATGACGATGACTGTAACCACGACGACGACTGTAACCATGACGATGACTGTAACCATGATGACGACTGTGACCATGACGATGACTGTAACCATGACGATGAGTGTGACCATGACGATGACTGTAACCATGACGACGACTGTAACCATGACGATGACTGTAACCATGACGACGACTGTGACCATGACGATGACTGTAACCATGACGACGACTGTGATGATGACGACAATCACAGTGATGGTAGCGGTGATGATGACTGTGACGATGACGATGACAGTAACGATGACGATGACTGTAACCATGACGATGAGTGTGACCATGACGACGACTGTAACCATGACGACGACTGTAACCATGACGACGACTGTAACCATGACGACGACTGTGACCATGACGATGACTGTAACCACGATGACGATGACTGTAACCATGACGATGACTGTAACCACGACGACGACTGTAACCACGACGATGACTGTAACCATGACGATGACTGTAACCATGACGATGGTGGTGACAATGGCTGTAACAATGACGATGACTGTAACCACGCCGATGACTGAGACCATTATTGAGGGCTAACGATCTCCCCCTCCTCCCCCCCCCCCCTCCTTCCCCCCCTCCTTCCCCCCCCCCCCCCCCACCCTCCCAGGCACCACGACCCAGTACAAACGCGTCTGCTATTTCACCAACTGGTCCCAGTACCGCACGCAGGCCGGTCGCTTCACCATGGACATGGTCGACCCCTTCCTGTGCACGCACATCATCTACGCCTTCGCCGGATTCAGCAACGACTTCAATGTGGTCACCACCGAGGACAACGACGTTCAGACGTTCGACACCATGCAAAGGCTCAAGCTGAGGTGAGTGGTGGGTGGGGTGGGGTGGGTTGGGGTGGGGTGGGGAGGGGACGGGACGGGTGGGGAGGGATGAGAGGGAGGAGAGGGATGAGAGGGAGGTGAGGGAGTGGATGAGAGGGAGGGAGGGAGGGGAGCAGATGGAGGGAGGTGAGGGAGTAAGGGAGGGAGGGGATGGAGGATAGCGAAGGAGGGGAGGGAGTATAGGGAGGGTTGGGAGGGAGGGAAGAAGGGAGGAGGAGGAGGAGGGAGGGAGGAGGAGGAGGAGGAGGGAGGGAGGGAGGAGGAGGAGGAGGAGGGAGGGAGGAGGAGGAGGGAGGGAGGGAGGGAGGCAGGGAGGGAGGGAGGGAGCGAGGGAGGGAGGGGGGAGGAGGAGGAGGAGAAGGAGGAGGAGGGAGGGAGGAGGAGGAGGAGGTGGAGGAGGAGGAGGAGGAGGGAGGGAGGGAGGGAGGAGGAGGAGGGAGGGAGGGAGCGAGGGAGGGAGGGAGGGAGCGAGGGAGGGAGGGAGGAGGAGGAGGAGAAGGAGGAGGAGGGAGGGAGGAGGAGGTGGAGGAGGAGGAGGAGGGAGGGAGGGAGGAGGGAGGGAGCGAGGAGAGTTCCGCCGTGCCCAGCTGACCCACGCCGATGGCGGCCTTTAAGGAGCAGTGGGCGCTGGAGGAGGCCGTGTGCTCGGTGGCAGGAGACGGTAGGGGGTAGAGAGAGAGGGGGTAGAGAGAGAGGGGGTAGAGAGAGGGGGTAGAGAGATGGGGTAGAGAGAGGGGGTAGAGAGAGAGGGGGGTAGAGAGAGAGGGGGTAGAGAGAGGGGGTAGAGAGATGGGGTAGAGAGAGGGGGTAGAGAGATGGGGTAGAGAGAGGGGGTAGAGAGAGGGGGGTAGAGAGAGAGGGGGTAGAGAGAGGGGGGTAGAGAGAGGGGGGTAGAGAGAGGGGGTAGAGAGAGGGGGTAGAGAGAGGGGGGTAGAGAGAGGGGGTAGAGAGAGGGGGGAGAGAGAGGGGGGTAGAGAGAGGGGGTAGAGAGAGGGGGTAGAGAGAGGGGGGTAGAGAGAGGGGGTAGAGAGAGGGGGTAGAGAGAGAGGGGGTAGAGAGAGGGGGTAGAGAGAGATGGGGTAGAGAGAGGGGGTAGAGAGAGGGGGGGTAGAGAGAGGGGGTAGAGAGAGGGGGTAGAGAGAGAGGGTAGAGGGAGGGGGTAGAGAGAGGGGGTAGAGAGAGGGGGTAGAGAGAGGGGGGTAGAGAGAGGGGGTAGAGACAGGGGGTAGAGAGAGGGGGGAGAGAGAGGGGGTAGAGAGAGGGGGTAGAGAGAGGGGGGGTAGAGAGAGGGGGTAGAGAGAGGGGGTAGAGAGAGGGGGTAGAGAGAGGGGGTAGAGAGAGAGGGGTAGAGAGAGGGGGTAGAGAGAGGGGGTAGAGAGAGGGGATAGAGAGAGAGGGGGTAGAGAGAGGGGCTAGAGAGAGGGGGTAGAGAGAGGGGGTAGAGAGAGAGGGGGTAGAGAGAAAGGGGGTAGAGAGAGAGGGGGTAGAGAGAGGGGGGTAGAGATAGAGGGGATAGAGAGAGAGGGGGTAGAGAGAGAGGGGGTAGAGAGAGGGGGTAGAGAGGGGGTAGAGAGAGAGGGGGGTAGAGAGAGGGGGTAGAGAGAGGGGGGTAGAGAGAGGGGGTAGAGAGAGAGGGGGTAGAGAGAGGGGGGTAGAGAGAGGGGGTAGAGAGAGGGGGTAGAGAGAGGGGGTAGAGAGAGAGGGGGTAGAGAGAGGGGGTAGAGAGAGGGGGTAGAGAGAGAGGGGGTAGAGAGAGGGGGTAGAGAGAGGGGGTAGAGAGAGGGGGTAGAGAGAGGGGGTAGAGAGAGGGGGTAGAGAGAGGGGGTAGAGAGAGGGGGTAGAGAGAGGGGTTAGAGAGAGGGGGGTAGAGAGAGAGAGGGGGTAGAGAGAGGGGGTAGAGAGAGAGGGGTAGAGAGAGGGGGTAGAGAGAGGGGGTAGAGAGAGGGGATAGAGAGAGGGGGGGTAGAGAGAGGGGGTAGAGAGAGGGGGTAGAGAGAAGGGGTAGAGAGAGAGGGGGTAGAGAGAAAGGGGGTAGAGAGAGAGGGGGTAGAGAGAGGGGGGTAGAGAGAGAGGGGGTAGAGAGAGAGGGGGTATAGAGAGAGAGAGGGTAGAGAGAGAGGGGGTAGAGAGAGGGGGGTAGAGAGAGAGGGGGTAGAGAGAGGGGGGTAGAGAGAGGGGGTAGAGAGAGGGGGGTAGAGAGAGAGGGGTAGAGACAGGGGGTAGAGAGAGGGGGGAGAGAGAGGGGGTAGAGAGAGGGGGTAGAGAGAGGGGGGGTAGAGAGAGGGGGTAGAGAGAGGGGGTAGAGAGAGGGGGTAGAGAGAGGGGGTAGAGAGAGGGGGTTAGAGAGAGGGGGTAGAGAGAGGGGGTTAGAGAGAGGGGGGGTAGAGAGAGAGGGGTAGAGACAGGGGGTAGAGAGAGGGGGGAGAGAGAGGGGGTAGAGAGAGGGGGTAGAGAGAGGGGGGGTAGAGAGAGGGGGTAGAGAGAGGGGGTAGAGAGAGGGGGTAGAGAGAGGGGGTAGAGAGAGAGGGGGTAGAGAGAGAGGGGGTAGAGAGAGGGGGTAGAGAGAGGGGTAGAGAGAGAGGGGGTAGAGAGGGGGTAGAGAGAGGGGGTAGAGAGAGGGGGGTAGAGAGAGGGGGTAGAGAGAGGGGGTAGAGAGAGGGGGGTAGAGAGAGAGGGGTAGAGACAGGGGGTAGAGAGAGGGGGGAGAGAGAGGGGGTAGAGAGAGGGGGTAGAGAGAGGGGGGGTAGAGAGAGGGGGTAGAGAGAGGGGGTAGAGAGAGGGGGTAGAGAGAGGGGGTAGAGATAGAGGGGGTAGAGAGAGAGGGGGTAGAGAGAGGGGGTAGAGAGAGGGGTAGAGAGAGAGGGGGGTAGAGAGAGGGGGTAGAGAGAGAGGGGGTAGAGAGAGGGGGTAGATAGAGGGGGTAGAGAGAGAGGGGGTAGAGAGAGAGGGGGTAGAGAGAGAGGGGGTAGAGAGAGGGGGTAGAGAGAGGGGGGGTAGAGAGAGGGGGGTAGAGAGAGGGGTAGAGAGAGGGGGTAGAGAGAGGGGGGGGTAGAGAGAGAGGGTAGAGAGAGGGGGTAGAGAGAGGGGGTAGAGAGAGAGGGGGTAGAGAGAGGGGGGTAGAGAGAGAGGGGGTAGAGAGAGAGGGGGTAGAGAGAGGGGGGTAGAGAGAGGGGGTAGAGAGAGGGGGGGGTAGAGAGAGGGGGGTAGAGAGAGGGGGTAGAGAGAGGGGGTAGAGAGAGGGGGTAGAGAGAGGGTGGGTAGAGAGAGGGGGTAGAGAGAGGGGGTAGAGAGAGGGGGGTAGAGAGAGGGGGGGTAGAGAGAGGGGGTAGAGAGAGGGGGTAGAGAGAGGGGGTAGAGAGAAGGGGTAGAGAGAGGGGGTAGAGAGAGGGGGGGTAGAGAGAGGGGGTAGAGAGAGGGGGTAGAGAGAAGGGGTAGAGAGATGGGGTAGAGAGAGGGGGTAGAGAGAAGGGGTAGAGAGAGGGGGGGGGGTAGAGAGAGGGGGGGTAGAGAGAGGGGGTAGAGAGAGAGAGAGGGAAGGGCTAAGAAGGAGGAGCAGAGCTTGAAATCTTTCGTGAAATCTTTAATTTAAACACGGGGGAGGGGTTTGTACATAGAGCAAAGCATTGAGCACAAAAACCGATATGATGAACGATGCAAAGTGCCGACTACACCGAGCTAGGAGATGGATGAGAGGGAGGGAGGCAGGAGAGGGAGGGAGGGAGGGATATCAATAATTGCAAATCATCATTCATCAGCGTCATCAGTGGCATCAGCAGTCGCATGCTGAGCCATAAATCATCAGCAGCAGAATTATTCGTCACCAGCAAAAAAAAAAATGATTATCACCATCGCCCGAATCTTCATTCTGCCACTGACACTCACGCGGCTGTTATTTGCTGTTTTGCCGATCTTTCTTTGTGGCAGGAACCCTCAGCTGAAGTTCCTCCTCGCCATCGGAGGGTGGAGATTCGGCGTGGAGAAGTGGGTGAACGCACGAACCCCCACCCACTCCCAACCCAATCCTCGGACCTCCACTCCCCTTTCGCTATGTCCGACCCACCCCCCTCCACCACCCCCTACCGACTCATCCATGGGTCTCTATCAGGGGCGGCTGTAACACGATACAATGACAGGATGAATGATGGGTTTTGCTCACGCGTCGGGGAGCCAATCAGCATCAGGCGGTGGCTTTTATTCATCCGCGAATCGTCGGTTTCAGATCCAGGAATCGTGGCGCGGTCCACGAATCGTCGGTTTCGATCCATAAATCACGCGGCATGCAAAATATCGCAGATTGATCCACGCTCGATCCACGCTCGATCCAAGCTAAATCACATACACGCAGGTATTCTTGAGCCACAATCGATCTATGCTCGATCACATACACGCAGGCATTCAAAATATCGCAGCTTGATCCACCCTCGATCCACGCTCGATCCAAGCTAAATCACATACACGCAGGTATTCTTGATCCACAATCGATCTATGCTCGATCACATACACGCAGGTATTCAAAATATCGCAGCTTGATCCACCCTCGATCCATGCTCGATCACAGAGACCAACTCAAAATCCCATGGCTCGAATGCCGCTCAATCGATGCTCGATCGGTGCGCTTCATCGTTAACAAATAATTCGATTGCCGTTTTAAATTGAGCGTTGGATCGTCAAACAATACCCCGGTTCCCGTTACAGTTTTACATTGTATGGGCAAATCGATGGCCAAATTACACCATATATGGGCCTGAAACATGACACACAATTGAGATTTTTTCATTCTTTCACGGATTAGTTTTTTTTCCTGTTCCTTTTATTCATTACAAATGTTGCGTGGTGCGGAACGACTCGAAGACGGAACTTTTAAGTAAGGGCTTGCGCCGGTTTATTAGCACAGGGGATAACGGTTTACACCAGAGGTAGGTGTCCCTACACTCGGTCCTTCGCTCGGACCTCAGGCTCTATCTGCTCTTAGCCTCGGCTATCTCTTGGGCTCTCTCGCCAGAGTTGGGACGGGGGTTGAGCCAACACCGCCCGACCGGGGTGAGCAGCACCCCAGTCTTACGGACGTCTCAGGGCCCTGCCCCTGGCTATGCCTTCGGCCCTCCTACTCGTAGAACCCGGACGAGGGGATCAGCCAACACCGTCCGGTCGCGAGCAGGAGAGACCTCCTTTCAGATGCTCTGCATCCACGGGGCACCCACAATGACCCCGCTTTCGTCACGGGGTCCCCCTTAAGTATCTCCCGTGACATGACGTCACGTCGTCACAATACTCCTCTGCACAAGCACACCTGCGGCATAGCGTGGACGAAGCCCCATATGGAACCCATCGAGACCCGCAGAGACGCATGTAAACCCATAGAGACTCGTCGAGATCCGCAGAGCCTCGCAGAGACCCAAATACTCATATAGAACCATAGAGACCCACAGAGATCCACAGAGACCCAGAAACTCATATAGAATCATAGAGACCCACAGAGACCCATAGCCTCATTAAGTACGATAGAGACCCACAGAGAACCAAATACTTATATAGAACCATAGAGACCCACAGAGACCCAAAGACTCCTATAAAACCATAGAGACCCACAGAGACCCAAAGACTCATATAAAACCATAGAGACCCACAGAGACCCAAAGACTCCTATAAAACCATAGAGACCCACAGAGACCCAAAGACTCATATAAAACCATAGAGACCCACAGAGACCCAAATACTCATATAGAACCATAGAGACCCACAGAGACCCAAATACTCATATAAAACCATAGAGACCCACAGAGACCCAAAGACTCATATAAAACCATAGAGACCCACAGAGACCCAAATACTCATGTAAAACCATAGAGACCCACAGAGACCCAAAGACTCCTATAAAACCATAGAGACCCACAGAGACCCAGAAACTCATATAGAACTAGAGACCCACAGAGACCCACAGAGACCCATAGCCTCACATAGAACTAGAGACCCACAGAGACCCACAGAGACCCAGAAACTCATATAGAACCATAGAGACCCACAGAGACCCATAGCCTCATTAAGTACGATAGAGACCCACAGAGACCCAAAGACTCCTATAAAACCATAGAGACCCGCAGAGACCCAGAGCCTCATTAAGTACGATAGAGACCCACAGAGACCCAAAGACTCCTATAAAACCATAGAGACCCACAGAGATCCATAGCCTCATATAGAACTAGAGACCCACAGAGACCCACAGAGACCCAGAAACTCATATAGAATCATAGTGACCCACAAAGACCCAAAGACTCCTATAAAACCATAGAGACCCACAGAGACCCAGAAACTCATATAGAATCATAGAGACCCACAGAGACCCAAAGACTCCTATAAAACCATAGAGACCCACAGAGACCCAAATACTCATATAGAACCATAGAGACCCACAGAGACCCAAATACTCATATAAAACCATAGAGACCCACAGAGACCCATAGCCTCATTAAGTACGATAGAGACCCACAGAGACCCAAATACTCATATAAAACCATAGAGACCCACAGAGACCCAAATACTCATATAAAACCATAGAGACCCACAGAGACCCAAAGACTTCTATAAAACCATAGAGACCCACAGAGACCCAAATACTCATATAAAACCATAGAGACCCACAGAGACCCAAATACTCATGTAAAACCATAGAGACCCACAGAGACCCAAATACTCCTATAAAACCATAGAGACCCACAGAGACCCAAATACTCATGTAAAACCATAGAGACCCACAGAGACCCAAATACTCATATAAAACCATAGAGACCCACAGAGACCCAAATACTCATATAAAACCATAGAGACCCACAGAGACCCAAATACTCATGTAAAACCATAGAGACCCACAGAGACCCAAAGACTCCTATAAAACCATAGAGACCCACAGAGACCCAAAGACTCCTATAAAACTATAGAGACCCACAGAGGCCCAAATACTCATATAAAACCATAGAGACCCACAGAGGCCCAAATACTCATATAAAACCATAGAGACCCACAGAGACCCAAAGATTCCTATAAAACCATAGAGACCCACAGAGACCCAAATACTCATATAAAACTATAGAGACCCACAGAGACCCAAATACTCATATAAAACCATAGAGACCCACAGAGACCCAAAGATTCCTATAAAACCATATAAACCCACAGAGATCCACAGAGACCCAGAAACTCATATAGAATCATAGAGACCCACAGAGACCCATAGCCTCATTAAGTACGATAGAGACCCACAGAGACCCAAATACTCATATAAAACCATAGAGACCTATAGAGACCCAAAGACTCCTATAAAACCATAGAGACCCACAGAGACCCAGAAACTCATATAGAACTAGAGACCCACAGAGACCCACAGAGACCCAGAAACTCATATATAATCATAGAGACCCACAGAGACCCAAATACTCATATAAAACCATAGAGACCCGCAGAGACCCAAAGACTCCTATAAAACCATAGAGACCCACAGAGACCCAGAAACTCATATAGAACTAGAGACCCACAGAGACCCACAGAGACCCAGAAACTCATATAGAACCATAGAGACCCACAGAGACCCATAGCCTCATTAAGTACGATAGAGACCCACAGAGACCCAAATACTTATATAGAACCATAGAGACCCACAGAGACCCAAAGACTCCTATAAAACCATAGAGACCCACAGAGACCCAGCAACTCATATAGAACTAGAGACCCACAGAGACCCACAGAGACCCAGAAACTCATATAGAATCATAGAGACCCACAAAGACCCAGAGACTCATACCCAAAGAGACCCATACTGAAACTAAACTATTTTATTTACCACATAAGGCCCGACTGAGCTGCTGTGTCGATCTTTTGTCGGAAGCACTGACCTGGCTTTCACAAACGATAGAAGCTCAACAAAGCATTGGCTGATATCAATTTCATCACGTGGAAATGTATGAGAGCAGCAAAATACTCTAAAGCAGGGGTCACCAAACTACGGCCCGCGATGTCAGCCCATCAGGCCCGCCGACGGTGCTTGAATTTGGTTGATGAAACGTATGGAACACGAGACGTTGTGGTGCAATTTAAATTTAAATATTATGTTTAGAATACCGGGAGATCTTCACGCGTGCGGAGACCTCCTGACTGCCATGTGCCTTAAATTTACTATTTTAAATTACTGCATCTAGATTTTCTCGTTTATCGTAATGTTTGCTTATTTCACGCCATCCCAAGTACTTCCCCGGCTCGTGGTAGCTCCGCCTACGCTCTGACGTTACCATGGTTTCCATGGCAACGTCATGGCAACGCGTTGCCGCGGTTTCCATGGCAACACACACAAACACGCATCTATCCCGCCCCCAAGTATTGAACAGGATGATTATGCAGCCCGCGCTCGCAATTCTATCGGTTATCCGGCCCGCTGTGAAGCAAGTTTGGTGACCCCCTGCTCTAAAGGCATATTTATACAGACTCACGACGAGCCATAGACCCACGGAGACTTATGGAGAGCCATATATCCATGGAGACCCACAGGGATTCAGAGACCCGTAGAGGATCATAAAGACCCATACTCATCAAGACCCAAACTTAAAAGTTACCGGGTCGTAAGGCCTCCAAAAGCTGTGCAGCAAATAATAGCAGCTCAAACAAGTGGTGGCTTACGATAGTTTCATAGTTGATAGTTCCATTTATTTGGTATAGCCCTGTGAGCCATTCGGCTCTTGAATCGGGTGCATCCGCAACAAACAAAAAAACAAAAACACGAACAGGAAAACATCTTAAAGTGACTACGTGTGTTGACTGTGCAAACAGAAAATCCAGGAAAAAAACATCAAAATATTCCTGAAATAGCACCGTTACAACTAACGCTGTGTGCAAAAATCCCAGTGGGATGCAATCCAAACAACAACAACAACCACAAGAACTTAGATTAAGGCCATCAGTCTAACTGATGGCCTTAATCTAAGTCGCCACCACGTGGACATGTATAGCAGCAGCTGAAAAGTCTACACGAATAGAGACGTTGATTCTAAATGTAGAGGAGAAAAACACAGAGTACCCGGAGACAAAATCCACACAGAGAGAGAGAGAGACGTAGACTCCAAATATACAACAGGCATTGTCAGGGTCGGGATCGAACCCATGACCTCCTATATATCAGGTGAGGTAGTTGACATAATAATAAACAATGTGCTTTGTCTTTCTAACCGATTGGCCTACACCAGAGACAGCAGCCTAGTCTCGCTACCAGTGTCAGACCAGAGAACAACGCCAAAAGAGATGCATAGAGGACCAGAGGGCGAAATGTTAGTGATAGCCTGTTCGTGAGCGACGTACCGAGCTAGCGGGGCCGATGAACGACCGGGTGAGCGAGCGGGTGAACGAACGACCGGGTGGGCGAGTGGTGAGCGAGCTACTTGGGCGGGCGAACGACTGGCTGAGCGACTGAGCGGGTGACGTAGCGAGCGGTTGAGTGAGCGACCGGGTGGGCGAGCGGCGAGCGGGCTGAGCTGAGCGGGCTGAGCTGAGCGGGCGAGCGAGCAAGAGAGCGACCGGGTGAGCCGAGCGGGCTGAGCGGAGCTGAGCGGGCTGAGCTGAGCGGGCTGAGCTGAGCGGGCGAGCGAGCAAGAGAGCGACCGGGTGAGCCGAGCGGGCTGAGCGGGGCGAGCTGAGCTGAGCTGAGCGGGCGAGCGAGCAAGAGAGCGACCGGGTGAGCCGAGCGGGCTGAGCGGGCTGAGCTGAGCGGGCTGAGCTGAGCGGGCTGAGCTGAGCGGGCGAGCGAGCAAGAGAGCGACCGGGTGAGCCGAGCGGGCTGAGCGGGGCTGAGCGGGCTGAGCTGAGCGGGCGAGCGAGCAAGAGAGCGACCGGGTGAGCCGAGCGGGCTGAGCGGGGCGAGCTGAGCTGAGCTGAGCGGGCTGAGCTGAGCGGGCGATCTTTTGCGCGACTGAGCGCAGGTTCTCCCGCATGGTGTCCTGCGCCGAGAACCGGAGAAGCTTCATCGCGTCCGCCATCGAGTTCCTTCGCCAGCACCACTTTGACGGCATCGACTACGACTGGGAGTACCCGGCGCAACGCGGCAGCCCAGCCACCGACAAGCATCTATTTACCCTTCTCATCCAGGTGACACGGAGGAGCGAGGGGAGCGGGGAGAGCTCCTCCCATGAAGCCTTTCGTTTCTTTCATCCCAGCCCACCATCTGTTTCAGGCCCGGAGCAGGTGGAGGATTTCTCCACAACTCTGTGGCTGTCCGCCTCGTGCTGATGCTGCTGCTCCTGGTTGTTGTTGTTGTTGTGATTGCTGGCGAGAGGTCGCCACTAATATGCGTAATACATTAGTAGGCACCGAGATTTCAAGGGGGGGGGGGGGGGGGAATTGTCATGCTTTTTGAATTGTCCACAATTTTGTAATGATCCTCGACCGTCCTGCCCGTCACAATCGAGAGTCCTGCTGCGTTTAAGCTCCTTCTGTTGATTTCATTTCAACCGCGTAGTCACAGATGGCCCCACTGCTGATGATGATGATGATGGAGGTGATGATGACGATGATGATGCTGATGGAGGTGATGATGACGATGATGGAGGTAGTGATGACGATGGTGATGCTGATGGAGGTTATGATGATGATGATGCGGATGGAGGTGATGATAATGCTGATGGAGGTGATGATGATGATGATGGAGGTGGTGATGATGATGATGATGCGGATGGAGGTGATGATTCTGATGCGGATGGAGATGATGATTCTGATGTGGATGGAGATGATGATTCTGATGATGATGGAGGTGATGATGATGGAGGTGATGATGATGATTCTGATGCGGATGGAGATGATGATTCTGATGCGGATGGAGATGATGATTCTGATGCGGATGGAGATGATGATTCTGATGATCATGATGGAGGTGATGATGATGATGATGCTAACCACGCCACGTGTGTGCCTGTGTGGCGTCTATAGGAGACTATGGCCGCGTTCGTGCACAACGCCCAGATCACGCGCAAACCACGACTCTTGATTTCCGCGGCCGTGGCCGCCGGCAAATCAACGGTGGCCGCCGCCTACGAGATCAACATGATCCATCCGTGAGTCGCTAGCCCAGAGGCAAAGGTCCCCCGTGTAGCCTCCAACAGACTGCAGGGGCAAGTGCTTTCGTAGTGACAACCCATACACACATAAAGATAAAAGTCCCCCGTGTAGCCTCCAACAGACTGCAGGGGCAAGTGCTTTCGTAGCGACAACCCATACACACACAAAGATAAAGGCCCCCCCGTGTAGCTTGAGACAGACTGCAGGGGCAAGTGCTGTTAGCAGCGAGCGGCACCTAATGCACACACAGAGACAAAGACCATCAACGGTGTAGCCTCTAACAGAGCATTCGGGCAAACGGTGGTAGCAAGCGGCACCAATACACGCAGACTTGACTTCGACAAGACTTCTAAGGGCAAGTGCTATCAGTAGCCACGAGTAGCAGCAGCACTTATGGAGGCTGGCACTGTGGCACACAAAGAGGGGGTAGTTTGCCAGCGCCACGCCTGACCGCCTTTGTCTCCCCCCCCCCCCACTGGTGATGCTTACCACACACGACCACACCAGGGGACGTATTTGAGGCTGAGTCGACCTAGGGGAGGCCCAGCAGCTCACCCCGAGCTATCAATGTCCTGATAGTGGCGTTGCCTTTGTGCTGTTCGCCTTTTGGCGTCCTTTGGTCTCGCACTGTTTGAGACGAGGCTGTAAAGAAAGCCGTCTCTGGTGTGGACCAATCAGTTTCAAAGACAATGCACATACTGGCAAAGCACGTGGGATTTTTATTTGCAGGTTCATCACAAAGTATACGTGGTTAAATTTTGATTTAAAGCTTGCGTGACTGTAGGGATTCATATTCTTGGTTCTTTCGGTAAAGTCACCACCACGTAGAAGGGAAACAATAAAATAATAAAAATATAAAAACAATAAAATTCTCACGACGTTTCGACTGCAACACAACCGATGATGACTGCTGCTTGTGTTGCAGTCGAAACGTCGTGATAATTTTATTGTTTTATATTTTTGTTATTTTGTTGTTTCCCTTCTACGTGGTGACTTTACCGAAAGAACCAAGAATATATATGTGGTTAATGCAGAAATGATTCCTTGCATAGGTTTCAGTTTGGTGTTTTAACATCGTAACACAACTGTTTTATTGCCAGAAAGGGGGAAAAACGATTGTCGAAATTTAATACTGGCAAAAGGAGGTCTCATGATCCAATGTTATTATTCACACGTTGTTGTGTTTAGTTTGGTATTTCACCCACCGCGCTTCTGATCAGCATGGTTGGTTAAATTCGGTGCGAAAGAAGTTATATATGCACGCATATGTAAACTCACACAGATACCCACAGACTCACACAGAGACCCACAGACTCACACACAGACCCACAGACTCACACAGAGACCCACAGACTCACACAGAGACCCACAGACTCACACAGAGACCCACAGACTCACACAGAGACCCACAGACTCACACAGAGACCCACAGACTCACACAGAGACCCACAGACTCACACAGAGACCAATAGACTCGCACAGAGACCCACAGACTCAGAGACCCACAGACTCACACAGAGACTCACACACTCACACGGAGACCCACAGACTCACCACACAGAGACCCACAGACTCACCACACAGAGACCCACAGACTCACACAGAGACCCACAGACTCCCACAGAGACCCACAGACTCACACAGAGACCCACAGACTCGCACAGAGACCCACAGACTCACACAGAGACCCACAGACTCACACAGAGACCCACAGACTCACACAGAGACCCACAGACTCACACAGAGACCCGTAGATTCACCACACAGAGACCCACAGACTCACACAGAGACCCACAGACTCAGAGACCCACAGACTCACACAGAGACCCACAGACTCACACAGAGACCCACAGACTCACACAGAGACCAATAGACTCGCACAGAGACCCACAGACTCAGAGACCCACAGACTCACACAGAGACTCACAGACTCACACGGAGACCAATAGACTCACACAGAGACCCACAGAGACTCACACAGATACCCATAGATTCACACATATGACCATGGACTCACACAGATACCATAAACTCACACAGAGAAACAGACTCATCACACAGAGACCCAAAGACTCATCACAGAGAGGCCGATAGACGAATCACACAAAGACCCATAGACTCACAAAATGACCCATAGACTCATCACACAGACACTCATATACTCGTCACACAGAGACCCATAAACTCACATAGAGAGACATGTAGACTCACACAGGGACCTATAGACTTACGTAGAATACCCATAGACTAACATACACCCATAGACTCATCACAAGAGACCCATCAACTTACACATAGAGACCTGTAGACTCGTACAGAGCCCTATAGACTCATGTAGAGACCCATAGACTCATCACACAGAGACCCATAGACGCATCACACAGAGACCCATAGACTCATCACACAGAGACCCATAGACGCATCACACATAGACCCATAGACGCATCACACAGAGACCCGTAGACTCTTCACACAGAGACCCACAAACTCACACAAAGACACATACACTCATCACACAGAGACCCATAGACGTATCACACAGAGACTCATACACTCATCACACAGAGACCCATTAACTCACAGAGAGATACATGTAGACTCACACAGAGCCCTGTAGACTCACGTAGAGACCCATAGACTAGCTTTACACCCATAAACTCATCACACAGAGACCTATCAACTCACACAAAGAGACCTGTAGACTCACATAAAGACCTAAAGACTCACGTGGAGATCCATAGACTCCCACACACCCACACACTCGTCACACAGAGACCCATAGACTCATCACGCAGAAAACTAAAAAACTCACACAGAGATACCTGTATACTCACATAGAAACCCAAAGACTCCCACAAACCCACAGACTCATCACGCAGAAACCCATAAATTCACAAAGAAATATATGTAGACTCACACAGAAACCCACAGACTCAGACAGAGACCCATAGACTCACACAGAGACCCATAGACTTGTCACACATGTACATATAGACGTATCACCCATAATTCCATAGACTCATCACACAGGCATCCATAGACTCACACAGAAAACAACAGACTTATCACACGGAAATCAACAGACTCGCACAGACACCCATAGATGCATCACACAGACACTCATATACTCGTCACACAGAGACCCATAAACTCACATAGAGAGACATGTAGACTCACACAGGGACCTATAGACTTACGTAGAATACCCATAGACTAACATACACCCATAGACTCATCACACATAGACCCATCAACTCACACAGCGAGACCTGTAGACTCACACAGACACCTATAGACTCACGTAGAGACCCATCGACTCATCACACAGAGCCCCATAGACTCACACAGAGACCCATAGGCTCATCACACAGAGACCCATAGACTCACACAGATACCCATAGATTCATCACTCAGATACCCATAGACTCATCACACAGAGACCCATCGATTTATTACATAGAGACCCATAGATTAATCACCCAGAGACCCGTAGCCTCATCACTTAGAGACCCATAGACTCACCACACAGAGACCCATATAATCATTTCACAGAGTCCCATAGCCTCATCACACAGATACCCATAGATTAATCATACAAAGACCCATAAACTCGTGCCACAGAGACCCATATATTCCTCACACCGAGACCCATAGATTCATCACACAGAGACCCATAGACTCATCACACCGAGACCCATAGATTCATCACACAGAGACCCATAGATTCATCACACAGAGACCCATAGATTCACCACACAGAGACCCATAGATTCACCACACAGAGACCCATAGATTCATCACACAGAGACCCATAGACTCACCACACAGAGACCCATAGATTCATCACACAGAGACCCATAGACTCATCACACCGAGACCCATAGATTCATCACACAGAGACCCATAAGC